CCCCCGTATCGTGCCCTCCAACCCCCGTATCGTGCCCTCCAACCCCCCGTATCGTGCCCTCCAACCCCGTACCGTGCCCTCCAACCCCCATATCATGCCCTCCAATCCCCGTATCATACCCTCCAACCGCCGTATCATACCCTCCAATCCCATATCATATCCTCCAACCCCATATCTTAACCTCCAACCCTCATATCATATTCTTAAACCCCAAGTCATACCCTCCAACCACCATATCATAGCCTACCACCCCCATATTATACCCTGCAATTCTCATATCATGCCCTGCAGAGACCACAAGGTCGGGAGCACCTGAGGAGGCTTCTGAACTGGGAGGAATTTGATGAACAAAGAGATTCCCGGAGGAGCATCCTACTGGACACCCTCTACGAGAGCATCATCTTTGCAGTGGGCAAAGGCTTCCCATGGGTGGAGGTAGCCCAAGTGGTCAAGTTCACAGAAGAGCTGCTAAGGGAAACCAAAGGTATGGGGCATCCAGGGCAGGAGCCAGCAGAGGCTGGCAGGATGGGGTGGGTACTCATAGGATTTCCCTGCCAACCACAGCCCCAGGAGCCTTGGAGAAGCCAGGGCCCCTTTCTGCCCTGCCCTGGCATTGGGACTCCTCACACACTAGGCAAAGGAGGTCTCTACTCAGGCTTCCCGAACATCCTCACTGAGTCTTCGTTGTTCTGCCTGACTACAAATCTGAACCACTCCAAGCTATTTGCACAACAGCCAGGGTGTTTGCTTTTGTTTTGGTTTGGTTTGGTTTTGCTTAACATAAATCAAATGTGTCACCTCCCCCTAACTTAAAACCCTTCATGAACCCCTGAAGGGCTGCATGTTGTTCCTGGTAGGAGATCTGGCTTTGGTGCAGGTCCCAGGGGAGTCCTGGAGCCTGCTCAAGCCTGGGAATGCAGTCAGGTGGGTGCATGGAGGCGGCATTGCTCCCATCCTGGTCCTGCCCTGGGCTTGCATGAGGAAAAGACCTGGTGGCACGTGAAGCTGTGGTCATTTCATTTACCTCTTGGGCAGTGAAGTACAGATTCATTCATGAAACAAACACTTGGGGCAGGCTCTCTGAGTGATACTCACAGTGATACTTCCTTCCACTGAGAACCATCCATGGGTACTGAAAGTAGTGGGCAGATGCTTGATGAGAAGTGGGATGTTTCCGTGCTTTCTAAGAACGTCTCCTACAGCATCCTTCCTAGTGACAAAGGGAAAAGAATACTCTTACAGGGAAGAAGCTGACCGGTGCCTCCTTAGTCAAATGACCCAAGTGGACATTGTCAGTAAGAGGCCACCCAGAATCCCGGGCACCTGGTTGGATGCAGCGAGAAGCCAGCATCCTCCTGTGATAGTTCCAACAAAGACTAATGGCCTGAATTTCATCAAGAGAAAGCAGCAAATGAGGAGCATTGCTCAAAGTAGCTCTTCTGCAAGCTTCAGACACTCCATAGCCATGAGGGCCAAGGAAAGACGGATAAACCTTTCCAAACTGAAAGAGGCTAAGACATGTGGTCAAATATGACCTGTGGCCTGTCCAGGTCTTCTTGCTATGAATGAGGTTATTGGGAGAAGTGTGGAAACCAGAGTGAGGTCTAGGGACCAAAAGGTAGTGACATATCCAGGGTGAGTGTCTGGATCGGATGGTCGTGATGATGAATGTCCTTCCTTTAGGAGATGCACGTGAAAGGATGCTGGGGTGGGGCATCAAGTGGACCGGGAAGAGTTTCTTTCTACTATTGTTGCAACCCTTCTGTATTTATTTTGATTTAAAATTGTTTTCCAAAAAAGTATAATAAGACTTTTGTAAACTGTGGCACATCTGAGGTCTTCCTCTGGCTTTCTGGTCAGAATCTCAGAAGCTGCCAAGCACACAGGCTGCACAATGCCCAGTCTCTCATATACAAGGGCCTGCCCTCAAGGCACCAAGAAGTGACCACTCAGTCCTGTTGGCAACATCTCAATGTCCTTTGCTAATCTCACCATTTTTTGACCATCCCCAAGGCCAGCACCATGTCCACCCCCCACATCCCCTTGATTGGTCCACTGCTTTCAAATCTTGCATTCTGCAATCTATTTATCAAACTGTGAATCCTTTTTCAGACACACAGAATGTCCCATGGCACCTTTGTTTGAAGGCATCCAGTGCTCCCAGCCTTAGGCACACCTGGGCCAGTCTTTCTTTAATCTAAGGCTGCCATATTCTCTTCCATGTTCTCTTCTAATTCTCTTCTGCTAGCCTGTGCTCCCACCGAGCAGTCCCAGCCTAAAGGCTACAGTGAGACATGGCATCGTTCATGGCCTAGATTCAGAGATCCTTGGGACATCTCATCCCAACCTGCCATCCCTGGCCCCACCAATGGGAGCCTTCAGGGCATCCCTCAGGTCCCCACCTCCCCACTGCTCACAGCCACATGCGGGTACCAGAGTTCAACCCTGGTGTCTGAGCTCTGCAGGGGCTTGTGGCCAGAACAAACACAGACAACCAGGAAGAGGAATGTGAGCCCAAAGCAGGTGGGAAGCGGACTCTTTCAAGTCCCCATTGGGGCCTCCATAAGCCGAGCCCTTGAAAAACAGTCAACGATTATGCAAACCCAATTTCAACCCAAGATTAGGTCACCCTGGAGCTTTCGGCACTTCTGGTTGGAGCATGCCTTACCAACACAACACAGCTATGTCTCACGGACTCTCCAACTGAGTGCAAAGACAACTCCTCTCCCTGACTACAGGGAGGCCCTGGATGCCAGCTAAGCAATTCCAGCCTCTGCTGAACCCCCCTAAAGGACAGGGAGCCCCCTCTCCTCTGGCACTTCATCCCTTACATGATCACTCTCATTTTTAGGAAGTTTTTCCTTGTGTCTAGCCTACAGCTGCTTTCTGCACCTCTGCAAAATCTGTCTTCCAGATTTTCAGCAGTGTGTGGGTCCTGAACATATTTATTGGGTTTCATACAATGCTGCTAGTACCTCTTTCCATTTGGACTAGACATCCTGGTACCTTTTATTGTTCCTTTTAAAAATTCAAATATTTACTGAAATGCTAGCTACATACATTTATCTAGAGCTTCCATAAATCATATACATGCCATTTCATTTAACATATGTTCATTATTTACCATATTTTAGCCTACAGATGCTGTATATGAGTAAAATACACCTGTGTTTACCACCACCCATACCACGCCATCTCTTTTCTCATTTTAATATGACATCATTCCCATAGACCCTGCCCCCCACCACCTCCTAACCTCTGCCCCCTCTCTTGCTACCCTCATCCAGGTGGCCTTGTGTTTGTCAGTATTATTCTTAACATAGGGCATCTGGATTCAAACACAGCAATTAGTGGGGTGGTCAGGGATGTATCATCTCCCCTGTGCTGGTCGTGATGCTCCTGTTTATATAGCCAATGGATGCACTGGCTTTATCAGCATCAGGTACATAGACTGGTGTCAGGCTGGCAGTCCACTAAAGCCCCTAACCATTTCCCCATCCTGCCCTTGTGTGATGGCGATTGCGAGTGCACCTGCAGGACTTCACAATCATCCGCCCTGATGCTGTCCTGTTCAGATGGCCTGCCTTTCCTTCCTCCTGAAACCTTCAGAGCCTTAATCCTGGGCCATCCAGTTTACCAGGTCCTCCGCTCCCCTTAACATCTGAAAACGTGTGAGGCATGGTCGCTGTAAGCATGCAGTAGACACAAGCTCTTGGGTGGGCTTCTCTCGCCTAAAATTGAACTGGCTGAAAATAGAACCATCAGGAGGCTTGGGGTCCAGAGGGAAAATTCAGATCCTGCTTGGTCCCTTACTGGGTATGTGGTCTAGGGCAAGTCTCATCCATCTGAGCCTCTTTTGACACACCTAGAAAAATGGGGACGCAGGGATCACCCTCATTCTGGGATTGTTAGAAGGATCAAATGAGGCTGTGCCTTTAGGCCCACAGCATGGTGCTGGGTGTCTGGGAAGCACCCAGAGAGTGGCACCTTTATTTTTAGGAGACACATGACCTGGAAACTTGAGGGAGCAGGATGTGATCCAGAAACTTGGTGTAGTCAGGGGTAACCTGCTTTGGCTCAGCCCTTGCAAGGAGGAGGCCCAGTAGATGTGTTCTAGGGCCCCTTCTCCTCAGCCCCTGTACTGTTCCAGTGACCCTGCACTGCAGGGGATGGGGCAGGGCCAGGAAGTAAAAAAATAAAGCAAACTGCAGATTCATCCCAGAAATCAGGAGCGAGACGGGAGGCAAATGATACTGTCCCAGCTCCACCCTGAGGGTGACTGACCCACTGGGAGAGCAGGCTCCTGAGAGCTGTGCCAGGCTGGCTGCAGTGCGGAGACAGTAGGCAGCCGGAGCATCCCCAGGTACAGAACCCCACAAGATCCAGGCCTCCTGCACCTCGATCACCACGGTGCCGTTCAGGATGGTGCCTGCCGTCCCTCAGCCAGATAGCCCAGGTCGTGTCCTTGTCAGCACCCGTGTCCTCACCACTGTGCACAGGGACACTCGGGAGGGCGTGAGCAACCCCCGAAGTCCTCCAGAGGCCGAGGGTTGAATTCCAGCTGCACCTCCTTCCCGGGTCCTGCTCACGGACAAACGCTGCTGTCACCTCCAGGCCCGGGCTGAGCCCTGAATTGTTCTGGGGCCCCAGTTTTGCCGTTTCCTAGCTGTGAGACCTTGGCCATTCCCTCAACCTCTCTGTGCTTCAGGCCACTCATCTGTAAATTTGGGACAACAGCATCCGCTCCACAGGGTTGTTAAGCTCATGTGTGGCTCTGGAACGGTGGCCAGCATAGAGGAGGCCCTGAACATGTGCGCTGGAGTTGGCCTTTATGTTACACCCGCTCGCAGGGGTCTCAGGCCCCCTCCTGAGCTCCACTGTCCGCCTGGAACTTTACGTCCTCTGCCTGCCTCTCCCAGACAGCTGCGGCCGGGGCAGCCCTACAGCACCACTTATGGAAACTGCAGGCTTTCCTGCCCCGGCTTTGCTCGGTGCTTTCTGCTCCAGTTCTGCCCAACTCTAGCCCTAACCTTGATCTTCTCTGGTGACATCCAAGTGGCACTGCCCAGGTTTGGACCATAGGCTCTGAGTCACCAGCCCTTATCTATCCTGCGTCCCCTCCTGTGCCCGCCCGCCCTAGGTCAACTCCCCTCCTGACTGAGCCCCTACCTGTCCTTGGCTGGCACCACCCAGAGCTGATCTTGGCTCCTCCAGTGCTGGGCCTCACCGGCTTAGCTTCCCGCCAGCGCTGGGCCTCGCGGAATTGGCTTCTGTCCGGCACCGGGCCTCGTGGGCTTGGCTTCTCTCCGGCGCGGGGCCTCGCGGGATTGGCTTTTCTCCGGCGCGGGGCCTCGCGGGATTAGTTTCTCTCCGGCGCGGGGCCTCACGGGATTAGTTTCTTTCCGGCGCTGGACCTCGCGGGCCTGGCTTCTCTCCGGCGCGGGGCCTCGCGGGATCGGCATTTCTCCGGCGCCGGGCCTCGCG